TGTTATTGTTATTATTATTGTTAGCATTACCATTAAATTTTTGTCACTGTTATCAATATAATTATTGTTATCATTATCATCATCATTACTATTATTTTATCATCACTATGATTGTTATCAATTATACTATTAGATTATAATTTCCATTACTGTTATTATTATCATGATTATTGTTCTTATCACTGTTATTGTTGTTATTACTATTACTATTAATATCCTTATCATTATTATTATCATTATCACTGCAGTTATTTTCATCATCATTATCATTATCAGCAGCAGCAGCAATATCATTATATTTATCATTATTACTATTATCTTAATCACCATCATCATTATATATACCATTATGATAATTGTTATCACTGCCATTATCATTTTATAGACGTTATCATCATTAATATCATTATCATCCTCATGATAATCATTATTTTCATTATTATGACCCTCATTGCCATTACCATCATCGAACTGTGATAAAGTCTCTTATCATTTACTGTATAATGTAAATTGTGCGATCATCATTTGCAGTACCAACGAATTCGTTATCAATGTTATTAGTACCATTATTAACATATTTATGAATATATTAACCTCTCCAATCGGGATTCGATCCCTCACCGCCGTTGCAAGGGAATGCAAGACGGTCACCCTATCCCTAGGCCACCACCCACTAAAGGGAGCATACAACCAGGCGCCACCTAGAGCCATGGACATTAATTACTCATACATGAGCAAGCATAGCCAGATTTTACACACACTCCCCGTGGGCATTCGGGACTTATGGAAAGAGCAGATCAAACCAAATCAGATAACCTGAGGTGTATTCAAATGAAAGATGGAATAATATAATTATCATTATCACCATACCTTCATTGTATACTATCGCATTACTGTAATGATAAAAGGAATCATTTGTAAAATCTTTATCCACCAGGATCACTGTAAGCATTTTGTATTATTATTTTGCAGAGTAAGAGTTGATCCCCCTCTCCCGCATCTATTTTGGATCCAGTCAGCAAAGTACTTGTTGATAAAAAAGTAAGTATTTTTTCGGTATTTCATTCAATATATATCACACCGAACTACGTTCACCCCTAAAAGCAACCTCGAAAAGAACAACATCAGCGCCAACCAAATCAACAACAACATCAACCTCAACCGGATTCTGAGTGTCCATCATCCACGCTGAGACTCCCCGCTTTCCCGAGTTAATAAATCCGTCTTGTGTAATCGAGCCTGATATTAATTAGGAAAGAAATAAGTATATTCTCAAAATGCTCGAATGAAAAATATGAGAAGGAAAATATATGTTCCTCCATCTTGCATTTACTCTTCGGCGAACACGATTATATAGCGAGAAAATTCAGAGAGAGAAAAAAATACGAAAAGGAAAATATATGATGGATATATTTTTTTTTTCTTCGTAACCCGTAAATAATATCAGGTTCATAGTTGCCATGACGACTTGTCCCTCCAAATTAATTCCCAAAAAATCCTGATAGAAAGCGATGTACTAGAAAAACCCCTTTTAAAAACGATGATCCAAATGAGGTAATGACATAAATAACCCCAGATAATTGGACCACTGAAACAGCTGCCACAGGTAATCAGACGATATTACGCTAAATGACAACTGTAATGATACAGTGGCTGGGGAGGGGGAGGGGGGCAGGGGGGTATTAAAAAGGAGTTGCTTGATGGTATTTTAGTCAAACCTGTTTTGCTCAAATGGCTTAGATGAAGAATATATATATAAGGCGGATGGAGCCTCAGCGCGGCGGGTTTCACTGTGCATGTGTTCATAGGTTTGTATATTTGTATGTTATGTTTATGGATATGTTTTATGTTTATAAACGGGTACTGATGCATGTGTATGTATTTCAATGTTAATGCGTGTCTATAATGATTATTGCAATCTGCTATCGCTTTCTTCCTCTCTCATGCACAAGCACACACACACAAACCGATACAAACACACAGAGGCCCTGAATATCACCTTCAAGAAACCGCAGAAAGAAACATGAAGGAAATGTGTCTATTTGATAAATTATCTTGGGGCTCCACGCAAATTGGCTCACCGCATGTGCTTCGCTGTTATTACGATCGCTCTCTCTCTCTCTCTCTCTCTCTCTCTCTCTCTCTCTCTCTCTCTCTCTCTCTCTCTCTCTCTCTCTCTCTCTCTCTCTCTCTCTCTCTCTTTGTGTGTGTGTGTGTGTGTGTGTGTGTGTTTGTGTGTCTGTCTGTCTGTCTCTGTCTCTCTCTCTCTCTCTCTCTCTCTCTCTCTCTCTCTCTCTCGTCTCTCTCCTCTCTCTCTCTCTTCTCTCTCTCTCTCTCTCTCTCTCTCTTTCGTCTCTCTTTTGTGTGTGTGTGTGTGTGTTTTCTCTCTCTTCCCTCTCTGCTCTCTCCTCTCTCTCTCTTCTCTCTCTCCTCTCTCTCTCCTCCTCTCTCTCCCTTCTCCTTCTCGGTCCTCTCACTCTCGCTCTCCTCTCGGTCGTCT